GACATTTTTATTTATTTATATATATATATATATATATGAAATGTTTATAATAACTTATATATAACACTTCCTAAATATATATGTATATAAAACAAATAAAAAACGAATTTATATGTAATTATATTTTAAAATACATTTTTATTTTATTTTAGATTTTATTTACACTTAGCCATTCAATTTATATTATACACACACATTTTGTTTATATATACACACAAATAAAAAACAAAAAAAAGTGCATGCATATTTATTATTATATTTTATATTATTTCTTATAAGCATATGTATGTAATTATATATAAAACATACACAAATCAAAAAACACATTTACAAATAAATAAAAGTAAATGTAATAGCTGAGTTAAAATACAAGTAAATAAAATATAAAAAGTAAATAAATATTTAAACACTATTTGCTTGATATATTTTACTTGTCTCTCACTATAAATTAAAGCAATAAGCCCCAACAAGCCATGGTTTACAGTGAATTTATAACAGCTAAGGGGCATTGTTAGGTACGACGCGAAGCAGAGTAAAACCCCCTTAGCTGTTATAAATTCACTGTAAACCACGGCTTCACGGGGCTTATTGATTTTATAAAACGGTTATTCCATATACTTAGTAAGGTTTCACAAAATAAAACAGAGCAAATAAAGTGTAATGATATTAATAAAAACATTATTCTTCCACCAAACAATGTAGTTCCTCAGAAACGTTTGTGGTTCCAACAAAGTGGTTGCCGAGCAGCACAAAGAAGTCAACAAAGGTGCATGTTTGTAGAGTAATTTACAACAGCTTCGAACGCGGCTCAACCAATCAGAATCAAGGACCGGAACTTTTTTTTTGGCCTTCCAGGATGTGACCTCAAACCCTAAACTCTGCTCGCTCCTGGATCACAAGTATGTGGTGCATCTGACGGATCAAGCGTACAACTACCTGCTGCGTTACCTGCAGAGCGACGACAACAGTGCCATCTGCTGGGCGCTCAGCACACATGTGCAGGTATGAGCCTCTTCAAATCACCAAGAACTGAATTCAGCGAGGGGATTAGTCAAAGAAAACCAGTTGACCTACATCACAAAGGGCTTTGTTTTCTTTGTAATTAGTATCATTACTCACATGCTGTCTTAGGTGGAGGTGACAGCAGCGCGCCGAACCGACTACCAGCTGTACGGCGCAGGCATAGGAGCAGGAAACACTACCTCCACTTCCTCTTCCTC